TAGTATGCAAATATTTTTCCCATTCTCTCACTAGATATTTTATCCACTCATTTATCCACCAAGTACTGAGTGCTTACTTTTTATATAACTCATCCTAGGAATTGGGAGCAAAGTGGAAAATAGGAAAAAAGAAATCCCCAATGAAACATTCTCTCTCTCTCTCTCTCTCTCTCTCTCTCCTTTTATTCCTCCCTTAATTTGCCAAAGGGCATGTACACTTGCTGGAGAGAGAGAGAATACAAGAAAGCACCTCCTGACTGGGGGGGACTGGGCGTGCTGCAATTCTTTCTCTTTCATTCTCCTCTGGATTTCAGGCAAACATTCTCCACTGGAAGAAAAATGATAACAAATGAGTAAACATACATGCAATATAATTTCAGATAGTGATCAGTGTTATGAAGAAAATAAAAATAAGGCAATATGATAGAGTGTTAGGGAGTCTCTTTCCAACCCCATGGTCAAGAAAGGGATTAAAAGAGGAGAAGTTTGGGGCCAGCAGGTAGCATGGTGGTTAAGGTCCTGGACTCCCACATGGCCGATCACAGTTTGAGTCCTGGATCTGGTGACTTGCTTTCCCGCTTTCCATCTCTCTCTATTTCTCTCTCTTGCTGGTCAAATTAAAGAATAACAATGATAATAAAGACATAAATAATAAATAAAATAAATCATTATTAAAAAAAAAAAAAAAGAGGGAAGTTTGAGCTGAGCTCTGAATACAGGATAGAGTCGCCAGCTCTGCATCGCCAAGAAAAGCCTAGGGTGGCAGCAGATAGAAAGTCTGTTTACCTCTAGAACAGTGGGTTCTTTTCATTAGATAACTGTGTTCTTTGCCTTAATTTTATTTACAGTAGGGCATGTTCATACACACATGACAGTGAAAGAGAGAGAGATAAGCACTCTCCACAGTCTGGACACACCATGAAGTCTTTCTCCCAGCCCTCCAGCCTGTCAGATCTTGGGTGGTCACACGTAAGTTCACACACATGTGCACACACCTGGCATGTTTCAAGCCCACTAGCCAGGGAGTCGAACTGAAGTCTGTGGAATTTGGCCTCTCTTGAGCAGCACCACGGAGCTGACTGGTTCTTAATATATTCTTTTTTTAGAGAGAGATTTTTGCTATAGGGCATGTGTGCTTACCTGAGAAACAGAAACAGAGAGACAGAAAGCAAAAAAATCACCCCCCTGAGGGGTATGGCCATGCCACATTCCATTCTCCTCCATTCTCCTCTTGGGATTTTAGGCATGCATGCACATGCGCCCCAGCATGAGTTTTAAGCCTCTGGTTCTGGGTCTCAAATGGTTGACTACGTGGGAGTCCAGCAATGTAACCATTATGCCATCATTTCCCCTTTTAATATATAAGTGTGTGTGTGTGTGTGTGTGTATATATATATATATATATATTGACCAGAGAAGAACAGAGAGAGAGAAGGAACTTGAGAAAGCAAGCTGCCAGGTGCAGGACTTGAACCATGGTCAGCTATGTGGGAGTCCAGTACCCTTAATCACCACACCACCGCCTGGCCCCTTAATATATTCTTAATACCTAATATCATGTGTGACTTTGAACAATGACAACAATAAGTAACATATTTAGCATTAAATATTTATATGAATTATTGTGGTTCGTTCTCTTGAAATTGTGGCACATATATACTATGGAATATTACTTAGCCATAATAAGCAATAAGACCCTAGGGACCAGCAGTTAGTGTAATGGCTATGTCGCTGGACTCCCATGTAGTAAACCGTGATTCAAGTCCTGGACCCAGTGGCTTAAACTCGCACTGGGTGCTTGTGCATGCATGCCTAAGATCCCGAGAGGAGACTGGAGGAGAAGGGACTGTGGCATGGCCATTTCCCCCTAGGGGCTGAATTCTTGCTTTCTGTCTCTCTTTCTGGTGAGCTCACATGCCCTATAGCAAAAACCTCTCAAAAAAATAAAAAGAAAAAAAGAAACAGTAAGACCCTACCATTTGATTCAAAATGGACAAATATAGAAGACTTAATATTGAGCCAAGTGAGCCAGACTTTGAAAGATAAACATTGTATGTCCCCACTTAATATGTACTGAATGCGCTCTATGGCAGAAATTGAAAGGTCCGAAGATAGGATAGTAGAGAGAATAACTATAGATACCAGAGACTGTAAGGGAGGTGAGTGGGGGGTAGAGGATGAATGTAAGATGCAAAGGGAAGAAATAGTTAACAGACTATTTACTAAAAAAGTAAAGTTCTCTGTTGGAAAAGCATATGTATATACATATATATACACACATATATGTGTAGTATACATTATGATACAAACTTTATGTAAAATGTGAAATTAATCTGAAAAAAATCTGAAGACATATAGAACAATAAAATTTCTTTAAAAAATACAAAAGCAGGGAACCAGCAGTTAGCATAATGGCTATGTCGCTGAACTCCCACATAGTCAACCGCGGGTCGCGTCCCGGACCCGGTGGCTTAAAACTCACGCCGGGCGCGTGTGCGTGCGTGCCCAAGATCCCAAGAGGAGAATAGAGGAGAAGGGATTGCGGTGTGACCAACCCCCCTGGGGGGTGATTTCTCACTTTCTGTCTCTATGTCACTCTCTGTCTGGCGAGCGCATGTGCCCTATAGCGAAAAAACCTCACCCAAAAAAAAAAAAAAAAAAAAAAATCAAAGGAAAATAGCTATAACATACAATACCTTTTTAAAGAATACAAGCCAGGGAACCAGCAGTTAGTGTAATGACTATGTCGCTGGACTCCCACGTAGTTGACCGTGGTTCACGTCCCGGACCTGGTGGCTTAAAACTCACGCCGGGTGCATGTGCGTGCGTGCCCAAGATCCCGAGAGGAGAATGGAGGAGAAGGGATTGCGGTGCGACCATCCCCCCTGGGGGGTGATTTCTTGCTTTCTGCCTCTATGTCTCTGTCTGTCTGTCTGGCGAGCGCACGCGCCCTATAGTGAAAACCTCTCAAAAAAAAAAAAAAAGAATACAAGCCAGATTAAGACATTAAAATGCCAAATAACCTGCCCAACGGCATGTAACAGGCAAGCAGCTTACCTATGAACCCAGAATTCAACCTCTGAATCTATGCTTTAAGGGACCAGCAGGTGGTGTGGTGGTTAAGGGCACTGGACTCCTACATGGTCGACTGCAGTTTGAGTCCCGGACCTGGTGGCTTGCTTTCTCATTCTCTCTCTCTCTCTCTCTCTCTCTCTCTCTCTCACACACACACACACACACACACACACACACACACACTTTCTCCCTCGCTGGTATAAAAAAATAAATAAATAAAGTTAAATACAGTAATTCTTAAGGAAAAAAAAAAGAATCTATGCTTTAATTAACCAAGCAGTCTGATAGAGCACCAGTGTCTGCAGGGCTTCCTAGAAATGCAGTCTTCTAGCATCAAGCCAAATCAATTGGATTACAATCTCAGAGAGTTTGGATTGGAAATTCAAATTTTCAATATGTCCTCCAGATGACTCTCATGCACACTGAAGTTTAGGACCACTGCATTTTTAAAAATTATTTTATTTAACTTTATTTATTTTATTTGCTTATTTATTTTAATTTGGAGAGAGAGAGAAAGTGAGAAAGCAAGCCACCAGGTCCAGGACTTGAACTATGGTCGACCATGTGGGAGTCCAGCGCCCTTAACCACCACACCACCTGCCAGCACCAGGACCACTGCATTTTGTTCAACAAATAAAAGAAACGAGTCCTCTGCCGTTTATATGACTTGCCCAGTATCTTATAAATTCTAAGCCCCCTAATCTGTATAAATTCTAGTTCTCTTAATCTTTAAATATTTATAATGATGAGTTTAACACTGTGTTACAAGAAAGGAGAAATCTCAGATTCTCCTGGGTCTTGTCTAGAGGCTAAAGAAAAATGCCTTGGTAAACAAATCTCTCAGCACTAGCATTCTCCCACCCACCCTCATTCGCCATCCCCAGTCTGCCTTTAAGGACCTGCAGGGACAGATCTGAAGTATGACAGCTCCAGGGACATCAGGCATGCCCATTTATCAGTAAGTTCCACAGCCAGCCTCAAGATTTAGCCCTTCTGCTGGGCAAGCCTGACCTGCAGCTGAGGGCATCTGTGCTAAACCTCCCATGTCCCCACACCCACATACTTAAAGCAGAACAGCCTTACAGGTTAAGTCCTTCAACTGCCCCTGCTCTGAGGGGTGGGTTGGAAGTGGGGTGTGCAGGGTCCTCTAAACTGAGGGAGACCCGTGACTGAGCTACAGTTTCCCTGGAAACTAGTTTGAGGCCATTCCCAGAGCAGTGCCCTCCTGTCAAGTGTCACTATAGGTTTAGAGCACCAGATAAGATGCAGGATGCTCAGTTACATTGCAGATATTGCATAGGACATACTAATTCTCCACTAGTATTTGTTGTCTATCCGAAATTCAATTTTAACTCGGTGTCCTGTTTTTCACTTTGGTAATCTGGCAACAAGACTCTTTGTAGGAGCAATCAACCAGTGTTGACTCCACACACATCATACGCATCCGACTGGAAGGAACACCAGCAAGGGAGTGGACTGTCATAGGGAGCCCAGAGACTCTGCGAGCATGCAGGGACAATTCTTCCACTTTTTACAAGTAAAGAATTGAGGGCTGTTGGAGCTCCTGTGAAGGACTTAGGTTTTGGGATGGGGTTTTTTTGGCACTGTTTCCCTCACTCCCAAAAGTATGACCGTCCCGTTTTGCGAGAACCCCAGAAACGTCTTTGCCTGGGCACATGCCAGTAATCGAAAACAGCTAAAACGGCCCCTCTGCAGAGTTTGCCGCGTCCGCCCCTCCTGTCCCGGCCGCCCATCCCGGGAGATCTGAGCGCGACTCCGCGGTTCCGGTAGCCCCGCCTCCTAGCCTTGCGGCGGCCTGGCCACGCCCCCTTTGTTATCCGATACTTTCCTGGGTCAGCTGGTGCTGGCGTCAGGAGGAGGGATGGGCTGGCTCAGCTCGACCCGGCAGGGCTTGTTTACTATGGCTGATGATCTGGAGCAGCAGTGAGTTAATCCTGTCTCTCTTTTTCTTTCTCTTTGTCTCTCTGGGCCATCATCCTGGGACTGTCTGTGGCTGAGGAACAATTTTAGACACCTTCCCGCCTTTCCTTGTTCAGGTCGGCTTCCGGGGAGGGCTGGGGGTTGCATTCGCTTGCTTTGCTTTTGCCCAGAAGAGCCGGCGGCGGGGAGCATGAGAGCAATGGTAGACGCTTGCCTGCGGCTCAGCGATTCTGACTTTCTACGTTAGTCTTTGCTTTTCATCCTTGTTCTTCTCTGGTCTTCTCGGGGTTTGGAGTTGGTAATGTGTGAGATTTAGTGGTAATGTGGGGACTGCTGGGGTAGCACCCAGGCGTACTGGTCTCGACTTGTTCCGGGACAGTAGTCGTGGGTGTGCAAAGAGCCTCCCTTAGCCCAGTGAGAGAGAAGGCTGTCTCTACCGCGCTGGGTTGATGCGGAGGAAAAGGCTTGCAAGTTACTTGAATTCTGTCCCCACCCCAGAGACACATAGCTTTTTGCGATCCTAATTGATAGTGCTTTTAATCATCATAAGGACATCCTTAAGGGAGTGGGTTAAAGTTATTGGATTTTATTACCACTGCCTCAAGATTTGGGATGCCACCTGTAGGTGGTGTGACTAGCAGTTTGCATTCTGATAGGAGCAATGAAAAGTTGCTTGAGAAGAATGACTCAGCTCCCAGCTAAGTCTTGATTTCACCGGACAGGGCCTTTCCTGGAGCTAGTATTCCTACTTTTCAGACCTGCGGAACAGGCAACTTGCAAAACTAATTAACTTTATGACAATATAAATAGCTTCCTGAGTTGGAAGGAGATTTGGGAGAAAGTTGCTTTCTAAGATGAGTTTTCCAGGAGAGAATTTACAAGGCCTAAAATGGCATAGGGATACATAATATTAGAGCTGGAAGAGATGTTGGTAAGTCAACTCTTTTTCATAAATAAAGAGCCTGGTTCCCATAGCAGTTAGAAGATGTGCCCAAGATCACAGCAGCCTGGAAGAGGACTCTCTCACAGCACAGAACCCCTTCTGCCTCACTCCCATCAGGAAGGAGGAGACCACTCCAACCAGGCTAAGTTCACAGCAACTCCACTTCTCTGCTCCTTGCCTCAATTTCCCATCCCAGCCCTTAGCTCCCTGGCAGTGGATATACAGGGCCAGGCACCATTTCCAGTGCTTTACCTGTAATATTTTTGGTGAAGAAGAAGGCAAAACAAAGCTCCCACCCTCTCTCTCCCCAAAGAATATCTACTGAGCATGCTGTTCTACAGGGCAGAATGTCTTTTCTTAGCATTTTGCACAGGGCATTTAGGCTTGCTGGAGAGAGACAGAGAGAGGGAAAATGAGAAATCCTCCCCTAGGGGGTGGGGGTTGGAGGGATGGCCATGCTGCAATCCCTTCCCCTCCATTCTCCTCTTAGGACTTTGGGCATGCATGCACATGCGCCCAGCATGATTTTCAAGCCACTGGTGCGCGGCCATGGAGGGGAGGTCGAGCACCTTTAACCACTGTGTTACCTGCTGGCCCCTTTCTTAAGTCTTTTTCACATGATTCTAAATGTATTAATGATGTGGTCTGGGCCTCTACTAACCCTTCTTTGCCTTCTTTTCTTCATTTTTATGTTAACTTTATAGGATTATGTTTTGCTATCTTATGATTCCGTTTTGTTTTTTAAGAAAAAAATACTTGCACTAGATTCTGTAGGCACTTGAAAATGAAGATAATTCTTTTTTAAAAAAATTGTTTTAGATTACCAGAACATGTGTATGCTCTCTAGAGAAAGGCAGAGAAACAGAGAGAGGGAGAAAGCAACTCCCAATGGGTCTTGGTCATACTGCAATACTTTTTCCTCCGTTTCTCCATTCTGCCAGGATTTGGGGCATGCATGCACATATGCCCGGTATGTTTTTCAAGTTGCCAGGGCTGGGGTTCCAACTATGGTTGGTCATGTGGGATCTGCCTCCCTTAACCACTGCACTACGGGACCAGACCAGTAGTTATTTTCTTTAATGAAAATAATTATGAAATATAAAAAGGCATAAATGTACGATAAAAATTTCATGAGACCAGCAGGTAGTGTACTGGTTATGTTGCTGGACTCCCACATAGTCAATCGTGGTTGACGTCCTGGACCCAACAACCTAAAACTCACACTGGGCAAATGTGCATGCATGCCCAAAATCCTGAGAGGAGAACGAAGGAGAAAGGATTGTGGCATGGCCATCCCCCATGGGGGGTGGGGAGGTGACTTCTTGCTTTCTGCCTCTCTGTCTCTCTGGAGAGTGCAACCTGCTGGAACCCAGGACAGCGTTTCTACCTGCCCCTAGTTAATGCCTCTACCTTGACTATGTTGACCCCTGCTTTGAGCACTTACGGGGCAATGTGTGGTCCAGCAGGTAGATCTGACTTGTCACAACCTTTATGATGTGGAGAGAAAATATAACTCAAGACAAGCAAAAATCCTGTGGTCTTGGTCCCCATGCTTCAAGCCTACAAGGAATTCCAGCAGAGTATTAAAAGGGTCCAGAGTCTCTCTAGAATTACTTCTATGGAAACTGACAACTCTCACCTAACTAAAGCCATTGATGTAGCATTCCTAGCTGCAAGTTCAGTTTTTCTTTCAAACCTCAACTATTTATTGAGAGCTTCTCCTTGCAGAACATTGATAGATAGTTTATGATTTAACTGAGGAAAAAGTGTTTATTGGGCTTTTATTTTGCACTTGGCATTATTTTAGATGCATTAGCTCATTTATTCCTTAAAACAATCTTGTGAGGTAGGTACTGTTATTATCTCCCCTTTAAGATGAAGGCATTTTGACACAATGGTTGCATAATGTTCCCATCACTTCAGTCACACCATTAGTGTCATACTAGGGTTAGAACTCTGGCCTCCTGGCTGTAGATCACACCTGCCTTCAGAAAACAGAGACCAGTGTGACATACTGAAGTTATATACTGTGAGTATCTGCGTATGACCTTGAAAAGCTGAGGTTGGAAGGTGCAGGGAACAAGTACTGAGAAACCAGGATTTGAGATCTGGATTCTGTTGGGTCATTGGAAAAGTCATGACACATTTTAGCATAGAAAAACATGGAAAAAAAATACATGACTTTTCTGACAACCCAGTAGTTCCAGTTCTTTCTCTGGCTTGCTTTTCGACCTCTCTGGGCATCAGTTTGCTCACCTATAAATTGCAAAGGCTTGACCAGATGACATCTAAGGAAACATCTTAATCCAAAGTTCTGTGCTTCAGATAATATATCTAGATGGCTAATGTGTACAAAAGAGTTCCTTCCAGAATGCCCCTGCCCTAACTGTGCCGATTCACAGGCCCTTCCTGTAGCTGTCGGTGTCCATCCTACAAGATAACCCCCTTCACCCAGGCAAATTACAAGAAAAGAGAAATTACTTACGGGATGGAAAAGAAATAGTAAAAACTGTTATTCAGTGAGCATCCAAATACCAGGTACCTCACGCAGTCCCTTCTAGGAAAAGACAGGTAAACCTGTCTTCAAATGCTTAAAGACAGGTTATGTAACAGGACAAATCAATTCCACTCATCAATGATTGTACTATGATTCAAATCTAGGTTGTTTTTTTTTTTCATTCTAAAGTTGGCAGTTCTAACCTCTGCCCTGCAGCGAGTCACTGGGTGTGAAGGAGAAAGCAGGATAAGTTAACATGTTATGGCAGGTGAGGACATAGGCCATATGTTCTCATTTTACAGTCAGGAAGACAAGGTCAGAGGCAACCTGTGTCCTGTCAGTGAACCATAGTGGGTCTTGAACCCCAGCCTCCTGCTCCCTGACTGCCCTCTCTCTATGTTCAGGGCTGAGAGCTCAACTCGACTCAGCTGACACAATACTCCCCACTTTTGGAGACTTAGGAAAGGGCACAGACAAATGCCACTGCCCTGCCAGGAGGATAGAGGGCATGGGAGCCTGTCTCGCCTTAAGGGAACAGTGAGTCCTGGGGATGGCCAAGGATAACTGAAACATTACTTAAACGTTGCTTTTTCCTCCTTTTAATCTCCTTGAACATGAATTATGATAACCAGTAACAAAGAGGAGCTCAAGTAAGATAATGAGTGTGAGAGAGCTTTGTAAACTGTAAAGTACAGTATGCATGGTGTTCTGAATATCTGGTGGAACTAGGACATGTTGTTGTTACTAGCCATTTACAGCAGAGTAGCAGTCTGTTGGGCACCTGGGGAATTGCCGACTGCAGAGCAGGCGTGACTTCCGAGGCTGGGAAACACCCTGAGCCTGATAACATTGTAACTGCCAGCAAGGCTGAGGGCATCGCCTTTCCAATGTTGCCAATGGGTGTTTCTGTGTCTTCTCCCAGGCCTCAAGGCTGGCTGAGTAGCTGGCTACCTGCTTGGCGCCCCACTTCCATGTCTCAGCTGAAGAATGTGGAAGCCAGGATCCTGCAGTGTAAGTAGAAGGGATAGCTTGTCCCACCTCCCTCAGGAGACCTAGAAGGAAGGAGAATCTACCCAGATCTGGGTGCACCGAGTGCGCTGCTGTCTGATTAACAGTGCTTAGGGCGGGAAGAAGGGATGTCAGTCGTTAGAAAGACTGACACAAAGGACACCCCGTTCTCTGATAGAGTCTCCTCACCTTCTCCTTAGCCATATGCTGGTTCCTGCCACATCTTAGAGCTTCACCTCAAACCCCATACCAGTGTGTGTTAACACACAACACACACAGCATGTACATTCTCCCTCGCCTTCCTTCTCCCCAATTCCTCCCTTCTTCCTTCTCACCTGCTCTCTTGTAAACATACAGATGCTTCTTAAACTTACCACCTTCCTACCTGAGATGCAGGTACGTCCTCTAATATCACTATTCCTTGTGTTCTACCCAAGCGTGGCTCACTACCTATCTGGTGGTTTGGGTTTTGCACAGACCAGTTCTCATGAGCAGTGTTTTGTTTTGTTTTGATTTGATTTGCCACAGTGCACATGCGCTCACCAGAGAGAGAATGAAAGTGAGGAAGCATCCCCTGTGGGGAATGGTCGTGCTACAATCCCTTCTCCTCCATCTCTCCCTCTTCGGGATTTGGAGTGCACACATGCATGCAGGTCTAGTGTGTTTCTTTCTTTTCTTTTTTTTTAGAATTGTTTTATTTAATTTAATTAATTTATTTATTTTAATTTGACCAGAGAGAGAAAGTGAGAAAGCAAGCAAGCAAGCAGCCAGGTCCGGTGCTTGAATGCAGTCAGCTGCTGCAGTCGGCCATGTGGGAGTCCAGCACCCTTAACCATCACACCACCTGCCAGCCCCTCCAGCGTGTTTCTTCAGCCACTGGGTCTAGGACTCGAACCATACAATTAGCCATGTGAGATACAACTGCCCTAACCACCGCACCATAGGTGGCCCAGTGGGCAGTGTTATGTTGGGGCAGGGCATCCCATGAGTAGCAGCAGCTGCTGGTTCAAACAAGGCTCTTGGACCATGTCTCCCATATTTCTCAGCCACCTGCCCAGCCATGGCTGCCCTGTCTCTTCTGGGCCTGAGTAAGTGAAGTCTGAGAACACTTCAGCTTTCAAGCCTCTGTCCAGGATCTAGGCTCCATCGCCCAGATGACTGTGACTGCTCTCCGGCCAGCAGAATAAGCACCACGTCCACTTCCATCTCTTAAGAGAAATAAGTCCGAGGCTCAGTTCACACCCATTGGCCCTGCTATCTGGCTGGACCACAGTTCTGTCCATCTGTCAAGCTCCAAGCACTGTGAGGTTCAGGAGTGATGGATAAAAGAGCTCTGTTGGGTCTGCAGTGCCATGACCATGCTGGGCCCATGGGGAGCCTGAGGAATCAGATGCCCCTTTTGTTACCTATAGACTAAATTGTGCTTTGAGTTGAATTCTTTAGGGTGTGTAATATTACAGAAAAAAAAAATTCTGATACTTATTAAAATAGCCAGGAAAACTATTGAAGACTTGCTAACAAAGGAGAGGGATCAGGCTCAGTTCCAAATACAAGGACAAGTGGGGATTTATAAACAGAGCAGGGTGAGAGGGTCAATGGATGGGACTTTACTAAGAGGAGACTCAAGATAAGAGGAGTACTAGCTAACTAACTTAACAGGACTCTTTCTTTTCCTTTCTTTTTTTTGGGAGAGGTTTTTGTTATAGGGTGTGTGCGCTCGCCAGAAAGACAGACAGAGAGAGAAAAAGACAGAAAGTGAGGAATGAGCCCTTAGGGGGGATGGCCATGCCACAATTCCTTTGCCTCCATTCTCCTCTTGGGATCTTAGGCATGCACACCCACGCGCCTAGCATGAATTTAAGCCACCAGGTCCAGGACCCAAACTGAAGTCAACTGCGTGGGAGTCCAGCAATGTAACCATTTTGTCATCTGTTGGTCCCATTAACAGGACTCTTTCTGAAGGAAAATCAAGAACTTACACATCAAAGATAGGGATGAAGAACTTGATCAGAATATTAACAAAGGAGAAAGGGACTTCTACTAGCCTGACTTGGCAGGATTCCTTGCTAAGACTGAACTGGGCGGATTAAAGTCAGGACAAGGGCCAACGTTGAGGCCTAGTTGAGCAGAGGACTCAGAGAGGCTTGTCTGAAGTTTGGTAAAGTTTACCAATGGTCAGATGGGGTAGAAGGAAAGAACTGAGGGAGGTTGGGGAAGGGTTTGGGAATGGAGAGACAGATGCAAAGGGTGGCCCTTCAGGCAAAATGATGGTGCTGTCAAGAGTGCTGTTGATTTATCCCAAGATCTTCCCTTCCCAGGTCTCCAAAACAAGTTCCTGGCCCGATATGTGTCCCTCCCAAACCAGAACAAGATCTGGACGGTGACTGTGAGCCCTGAGCAAAAGGACCGCACCCCTCTGGTGATGGTGCATGGCTTTGGGGGCGGCGTGGGCCTCTGGATCCTCAACATGGATTCGCTGAGTGCCCGCCGCACACTCCACACCTTCGACCTGCTTGGCTTTGGGAGAAGCTCAAGACCAGCATTCCCAAGGGACCCAGAAGGGGCTGAAGATGAATTTGTGACCTCAATAGAGACTTGGCGGGAGACCATGGGGATCCCCAGCATGATCCTCCTGGGGCACAGTTTGGGAGGATTCCTGGCCACTTCTTATTCTATTAAGTACCCTGAGAGGTAATGAAAAGTCACCTTTCCCTCATGACCTAACTCCTTGCCTTGCTGGGAAATTTCCAGTATTCATTTCTAATAGTTCCCTCCTTCCCAGGCAATTTAAGGACTTTGGTACCTCCCAACAAATACAGTGTTTATTCTTTTTCCTCCTTTAATGTAGAGTTAAGCATCTTATCCTGGTGGACCCATGGGGCTTTCCGCTCCGACCAACTGACCCCAGTGAGATCCGTGCACCTCCAACCTGGGTCAAGGCCGTGGCATCTGTCCTAGGGCGCTCCAATCCACTGGCTGTTCTTCGAGTAGCTGGGCCCTGGGGTAAGTGGCCTGTAGATGAAGAAATGATCTCCTTAAACCAAGGTTGTCCCATTCTGAAAGCTCCACTGCATCTGGACTTTCACCATTCCAGCTCATTCATAAAAAGTGGGAAAGGGCCTCTCATTGTGATTTAAAGCTTTTAATTTGGACCAGATCTCTTTGTTTGAGACTTTAGAAGATTGTGGGTTTTTTACATGGAAAAAGCTTTCTTATGTGAAGAAGAGTTGGAGCAGAACAGCTTCTCCATGCCTTGGCTAGACACACAGAAAGAGGAAGGGCTGTGAGATGGCACTTCCTTCCCCACATAGGAGTTTTAGGACATACTGGGAATTTTGGTGCAGCACCTAGCACTGAATTCCTTCCTCATGGCTCCCCCAGCACCTGTAGCAGGGAGAGGTCAGAACAGAGCCCACAGTGGCAGAAAAGAGTGGCAGGAAAGCCCTCTGAACCATAGCCTGCTCCAGACAAGTGCCACATCTTCCTCTGCTCTGTGTCATCTAGCACTTAGTAGCTGTCAGCAAATTCTGGGGGAGAAAGAGAGGAAAGGGCAGGGGCTGCAGGGGCAGCCATAGTGAATGGGATCAGAGGGTCTGGCCTTCTGACCTCACACTGTCAGCACCTTCCTTTCTCAGGAGCTTTTTACTTTGATAAAGGGCTCCTGTTCTAGGAAAGGTTGGTGACCCTCCCTTGTACTAATGGCCTATGAGTATAGAGTAATGGTTAGTAGTCAGTAATGCTGAGTTCATCACTGTTGCTAAATAAGAGCTGTCTCTCTAGGCCCTTGAAGAAAAATAGGATGGTTCTGAATAAAGGGAATTAATGAGCAGTTGAGTAGAAGGTAGGAGTTTAGGAGTTCCAGAGAAAAGGCAGGCTAGCAAGAGACACAGGTGCCCACAGTCAGTGGGCAGAGGGCTGAGCTTCTCAGGGTTCCCGGTACTGTGGACTCCAACAAACTGTCCAGTTCTTTTCCAGGAAGAAGCCCTGTTCTATCCACTCTCACCTTTTCTCAACTTGTATCTAGCCAGTTCATGCACATGCATCAGAGCTATTCTGGCTGGGGTGGTTGGATGGCAGTCCTGGAGAACCATGCCAGGAGGGTGGTCCTGGGCCCTTGGATAGCCTAGCTGCACCCTCCCTACCACAACATCTCTCACCTCCCTCTCACCCCCCTCTTCCCACAAACCGAGAGTTGACCAGAAAAGAGAGAGATGAGAAACAGACTGTTAGGCCCAGCTTTTACAGTCTGTTTGTGAATGTTCGCATGTGTACCATGAAGAAAGGTGAAAGGAATAAAATGTTCTAAAACCGTACCGAGTCCAACACACCGCGTTGTTAGGTTCACCTCTCCACATATTCTGTTACAGGCCTGAACATGACAGGGCTCTTGGGAGGTGGTCTGGTTTTATCCACTACCTTTAGATGATTCAAAGACCATGAAAAAGGTCTCAGGGAGAAAGAAATATAACCCAGACTGTAAACGAAAATAACCTCCACCTAAAACTGTTGTGGGGCTTGTGATCCTTGCAAGAAAGGATTCTGGGGCTTCCTTGGAACTTCTTGGGACTTCCTTGGTTTGTCAGAAATGTTAGACTGTTTATAAATTATCAGGTACTCAACTAATGCTGTCATTCGAAATCATCCGGACCACCCCAATAGACACCAGTACTCTCCGCCATTGTAATGTTAAATGTGTAAAACAATCAGACCCTTAGGAAAAATAAGATTTGCTTAAAGTTGTTAAAACAGGCAGGAGTCTTGTCTGCCCTACCCAAACTGGTGACTGTTTTTCTATCCCCTTCCAGGGCCTGGCCTGGTACAGCGATTCCGGCCAGATTTCAAGCGCAAGTTTGCAGACTTCTTTGAAGATGATACTATATCGGAGTATATCTACCACTGTAACGCGCAGAATCCCAGGTGAGGTGGCTCCTGGGCCAGCTGGGGCTGGCTAGTCTGGAGGCAAAATCCAGTGCTGGAGTCCTATGCTTTCTTTCTTCTTCTACAAAACTCTGAATCCATTAAGAAAACACAGACACTAGCAGATTTAATCATTTCCTGAGTTCCCCCAGGGAACTACATGCAAAGGCATGTAGAAGATAATAGATTAATTAAACATGCTGCCCGCCTCTGGAGGAAAGCCCTTCTTCCCTAACAGCAGGCAGTTGGCCCGATGGGCAGGAGTCTAGAAAACATTTTAAAAGCTTTTTTTCTACCTGAAGAAGTGATAAACATGCTGTTTTTTAAGGAAAAAAAAAAAAAACAGAAAAAAGGAAAGGAATTGAGGAGGGAAGGAAGAAAGGAAGGAAGTCCTCTCTTGTCTCTAACCTGCCAACTTTCCTTATATTTCCCCTCTAAGATATCATATGGCATTGCTTCAGAGAACCTTCTTGCACATATTTCTTTGCACACACATGACTATATCTATAGAATACATTTCTACAAATAGAATTGCTCAGTGAAAGAATATGCACTTTTAAATTTAATTAGGTACACTTTATAATCACTTTTTTTTTGGAATAGAAATTCCTTCTCATTTTCTGGAGATTTGGAACCTTGAGAAACTCCTGTCTACAGCTACTCACTCATTCAGTAGGCCCCACCAGCTTGCCAGCCTGCAGTCTTGGCAACTCTGACAGACAGGGCAGTCGGTATGGTAATCTTCCCCTACAGCAGCTCCCTGACAGTAGCTGATACTGTGAGGCTGCGTTGGTGGCACCATCTTTGTGGAGGCCTCACCCTGAGCTGCTGGGAGGCATCGCAGGGGAGCCAAGGTCCCTGCCCCACCTCTCTCCAGGCCTGCCCGTGGCACCTGTTGTAAACCCAAAGCCATGAAGAAAGTAGAGATGTGCATTCCATCTGCACTGTCTGAGCATGAGCCTCAAACTCAGCTTTTGGGCAGTGTGGGAGCTGTCTGTCCAACATTCTGTTAGGTCATTGGAAAGCCATGACGTATTTCCCTGTTTGTCTATGCAAAAATGTGTCATGACTTTCCCAAGGAACCAATACATGAGCTCAGCTTTAAAGGGCCCCAGTTAAGCAGTAGTATAAAAATGCCCAGCTCAATACTCAAATCAGGTATCCCTGGCTTCCTGCACATGGCTCCTCTCTCAGCCTTCATGGGCTCAGTACCAGTCTCATACCCACCTGAGATCCCACGGGCCCAACCCTAACCATTGCCTTATTCCAGACCTAGTCCTGTTTTCCCAGTCTCAGCCACAGAGTATATAACTTCATAACCCATTTGTGTCCCGAAGGAAGAAAAGACGATATCACTGATAACCAACTTCCTAACCCACAAACACTGGCACTAAATTTATAACCATCCGAGCTTTTTGAGTCGTAACTCTACGAGTTCATGGTAACTATTTTAAATTTTTTTAAGTTTACTTTTGTCTTCCATGATAGAAAGAGGCAAAGAGAAATGTAGACGAGAACTCCCAAGAGGTTCTTCACACCATGATCCACCCTCAACCTCAGCCAGCCCAAATCATGGGCACATGTGCATGCCGAGTGTGCACAAGGAGCTCTTAGGACACAAACCAGGGGCTTTCCCATGTGGGTCCAGTTGCATTACCAGTGCACCATATTTTTTTTTAAGTTTATTAATTTTCTCTTCTTTGAGAGAAAGAGAGAGAGGTATCCCAACAGGGTTTTCACACTATAATATACCTCCAGTCTCAGTCAGCGCAGAACACAGGCCTATATGCATACACTCAAAAAAGGTCTCAGGACATGAACCCAGGACCTTTCCCATGTGGGTTCAGTTGCATTATCACTTCACCATCACCTGGCCCTGGTAACTCTTATCATTCTCTTGGAAAACATGAAATTTGGCCAAGGGGAAAATGTTTGGGAGATGCCTACTTCACCTAAATGTCAGGGCTCCTAATCATGACCTGAAGTGGGCATAATTCTCTCCAATTTGTACATGAGGAAATTAAGATATCTGAGGCCTTAGTTCTTCTTTTTTTCTTTTTAAGAATTATTTATTTGGGGGCTGACAGGTGGCGTGGTGGTTAAGGGTGCTGGATTCCCACATGGCCAATCGTGGTTCGAGTCCTAGACCTGGCAGCATGCTTTCTCTCTCTCTCTCCCCCCTCCCCCGCCCTGGTCAAATTTAAATAAATAAATAAAGTTAAATTTAAAAATATTTTAAGAATTATTTATTTAATTTTATTTAAACTTGCTATAGGTCACATGTGCTCACCAGAGAAAGAGAGAAAGAGAGAGAGAGAGAGAGAGAGAGGGAAAGTGAAAAAGCAAACCACCATAGTCAGCCATGTGAGAGTACAGTGCCCTAACCACCATGCCACCTGCTGCCCCCGCCTCAGTTCTTAAGGAAATAACCAGGCAGTAAAGTAGATTAAGGTGGCATTCACCATTTCTCCCTAAGCAAAAACTGCTGCTCCCCAGTCCTCATAAGACTGATTCTCATTTCCAGAATCTCCCAGAGTGCCCTTTTACTATGATAGTACTTGCCCTAAAGAGTGCACCTCACCTGAACTCCTCAGCAGATTAAGTCCCTATCTATGTTTCATAACCTCTACCATCCTTACATAATTCTTGGAGAATTTTACATTAAATAATTAACCACATGATTAGTTATTTAATGCCTGCCTTCCTAAAGTGTGAGCTATGGTGTGGTCTCTACAAGGGCAGGCATCTTATCTCATTCATAGGTCCCCTCTCCCTGCCCAGGACATGGCACGTAAATATTTATAGAATAAATAATAACTCACTCCATTTTTGGACAGTTCTCAGTGCCATGAGGTTCTTTACAAGTGTGTCCCTCCTATCACAGAGCCCCGGAGATGTAGTCATTTCTTTTTCTCACTAATATCTAATCTCTAATGAGCCCAATGCTGGTTTTAAGAGGAATACAAAGATACTGTTTCTGAAGAGACCACAAAGTTGACATTCTCTGCTGCAGGGTTTATTCTACCCGTTGCCTTACCGTGTTTTTGCCTCTGTCAGTGGTGAGACAGCATTCAAGGCCATGATGGAGTCCTTTGGCTGGGCCCGGCGCCCCATGTTGGAGCGAATTCATCTGATTCGAAAAGATGTGCCCATCACCATGATCTATGGGGCCAACACCTGGATAGATACCAGCACAGGAAAAAAGGTGAAGATGCAGCGGCCAGATTCCTATGTCCGCGACCTGGTACGTTGGGCCACCCAAGGAGAGGGAGTCAAGGTGGAGGTGTTGTAAATTGAATCCAAGCACATGTTGGTTGACTGTCAGCCAGCTCTTAGTCTTGAGGTTGAAAAGGATGATCAAAGAGTTCAGGGGAAAAGAGGATCAGACAGACTGGTAGAGCAGTGGATTTGAATGGTTGGGCTTTCTTAGTAATATAATTAGGAGCATCCCACTTCTGTGTAGCCCACTCAGCCACACATAAGAGGCAGGTTCTTGGTGAGTATCCAGGCACATGCTGCCACTCCAGCCCCCAGAATTCCTATCCAAAACCAGAGCCATGAGCAAGAGAGTGAATTGGAGAGGCTGCCATGAAGACTTCTACCTCCCTTTTTTCTTTTTTTTCTAGAGGTTTTCGCTATAGGGCGCGTGCGCTCGCCAGACAGAGAGACATAGAGACAGAAAGCGAGAAATCACCCCCCAGGGAGGATGGTCACGCCGCAATCCCTTCTCCTCCTTTCTCCTCTCAAGATCCTGGGCACGCACGCACACACGCCCAGTGTGAGTTCTAAGCCACCGGGTCCGGGACGCGAACTACGGTCGACTGCGTGGGAATCCAGCGACATAGCCATTACGCTAACTGCTGGTTCCCTACCTCCCTTTTTTCTTACATGCCCCACCCCTGTTTGCCAATCAGCATGCCTATTTAGGCTGGGTGCCACCCATGGGCCCTGGCTTCCTGAGCCTTTGGATGAAATGAGCGGACCAGTGGTGGGACCAACATGGAAGGGAAGATGCGATCTTTAGAAGTAGAATGGGATATTGGGTCACATTGGCTCCCAAAGGAAAGTATCAAGATCCGGGCAAAAGGAAGAGCATTGTTTTTGGTAAGAACTTGTAGGTGACAGGCAAGCAAGTCTGAGGGGAAAAGAAATGGTGCAACAGCTTTCTGGCACTGGGAATAAAGGGCCTCTTGACTCTGCTGGGTTCTCTCTCCGCAGGAGATTGAGGGTGCATCGCACCATGTCTATGCTGACCAACCACACGTCTTCAATGCTGTGGTGGAAGAGATCTGCGATTCAGTTGACTGAGCTGTTTTCGCTAGAGGAAGAGGAGAAAGCCAGAGAGTCGCTCTCGCCTCCCTGTCTGCTTACTATCCCCTCTGTCCTTTCCTCACCAACTAACACATGCCAGGACAGGACCACAGTGAGAAAAGAGTATTCCTGATGCCACACTAAAGACTGGAGGTAGAAGCCACAGAGGCCTTGAGCTCCTGAGCTGGGGAAGAACATAAAGGGTTGTGCAATGCCACCCTATTCTCTCCATGCCAAGTGTTACCCTGTGGTAGTTATGAATGGATTGCACTGAGCTACGTTCCCTCCCTGTACAGCCTTTCTTTCCTCTGGGCAATGGAGAACTCTCAGCAGCCTTTCCTAGCTCTTTTTTTTTTTTTGGGGGGGGGCGTAGGTTTCATGCAAGAGCATCTTCTCCCTCACCCTCACCTTATGCCATTCCCATCTAGAGTCTGGTTGGGGCCAGTTCCCACTTAGCTCCCAAGAGCAGGTCCTGGAGCTCCCTTCACATACCGAGTCCCTTCCATGACCTGAGATGTCATAGCCAAAGCCCTCATTAACAGAGGAGGAAACAGTCCAGGGCGGGATACCCCTAGCCTTTGGTGTCACAGATCTGGATAATATGACTCTGGCAAGGCTAAGGCTAGAACCCATGTCTACTAACATTCAGTGCTTATTGCACACACGATTTGCTAAGCTTTGAGGCAGACACCATTGCCATGGGGCTAGACCCGGTCACTGGCTAAGGATAAGTCCTTAACTGTCCCATAGCCTGGCCCCATGCCTCGGCGCTGTCATCCTTCCCATGTCTCAGCCCTAGCCGTGTAAGCTAGGCACACTCAAGTGCTTCCTCCCTTGTCTCTTCTTCCTCCCTACTGGAGGCCTCTGAGCCTCCATCTGTGCCTTGGGCCCCAGGCCCCACACGTAGTATAGAGCAAAGGTGGCTGCTGGCGGAGAGATGGGGAAAAGGCCCTTCAACCCTAGGGCCGTGTCTAGATTCTCCATGCCCACTAGTATCTGCAGTGTTACCTGCCCCGAGAGCTGAGGCCCACCATGAGCCCCTGCCCATGGAGCAGTGGGGTACCTCAAGCCAGCAGGTCCTGTTCTTATCAGCCACAGGATGGTTCTCACTGCCTGATCCTCTACCCCTGCCATCTGTCCCCATAGTCTCCAGCTCATTCTGCCCTTGACGTACCTGTCAGCTCATCCCAGGTGCTGCTCTGAGGCTCTGGGTAGTAGGCTGGGCCTGGTCCCAGAACCAGGGCAGCTCCTGCCTGCTCCTTCTCTTTTGTAAAGCCAACCCTTTCACCAGAATAGTATTAACTCCTGGTGCTTTGTACTACTGGTCCAGCTGCCTTGGACTTCTTTTCTATATTAATAAAGAAATGAGTAAAAATTGCCGGTGGTGACTATGTTTAATATCATTCTGACGGTGGTGCTGAATTCACAACAGCCCATGTGATGCCAGAGTAAGAGAAGGGAGCCCTGGGACCAGCAGGTGGCATGGTGGCTAAGGTGCTGGACACTCCCACATGGCTGACCATGGTTTGAATGCCGGGCCTGGTGACTTGCTTTCTCACTTTCTCTCTCTCTGGTCAAATTAAAATAAATGAATGAATAAATAAAATTAAATAAGTAAATCTTTAAAAAGAGAGAGAGAGCGAGAAGGGAGCCCTGAAAAGTAACTGCTCACGTGGAACCTCCTTTCCCACACTTGTCCCCAAGACCCAACCTGGAGTCCAGTTCAGCACCGGCCATCTCAGCCAGCCTACTCCTGTGGGGTGAGAGACAGGATCCAGAGTTCAGTGTGAGAAATGCAGGCCTTGAAGGTGGGGTGTCATGAAGGATTGAGAAAAGAGACAAGGAAAAGGTTAAAACGGGGCTAAAGCTCTCTTAGAGCAGAAGCAAAACTGAACCAGAACAGAACCTGTTTATTCCAAATTAAATCGGATAAGCAGGGGGTACGTTTAGCTATAAAGAATAATGTATGGGATACATGATATTCTTTGTAGGTTATATTCCTGGTCCACGGTCGATAGCTATTATTAATTTAGTATTTAGACAACATTTTGGCTTGTGGACTGTCGTCCAACATCTTGAGACAGCCCATGCCTGGAGCTCCATCCAGTTGACCATGTGGTCCCTGCCACATTCCGTCTGGGAATCCGGTTGCCTTCAACTCCCTCCTGCATTCTTCCCTGCTGGCTATCTCTCAGGCTTGGGCTGGTTTCTGTCTCCAACAGTTTAGATACCTGTTTACACTACCAAGCCTAAGCTCCAGTTCTGAGAAGAACCAGACAGAACTGGTTGCTCCCATGCCATCTTTCTAAGTTCAGATGGGCTTGCATATGAACTGTCCCTCATAGTCTTCCTCCTCTTACTCATCCTCTGGTTCTCAACCCAGAAGCCTTGCCCCGATCTCCCAGATGAGATTTGGACTACCCCCTATCCTGTGTCTCCATGCCATATGTGACTGTGCCTTTTGTAAAACTCAAAAACTCGTGGCTACAAATACCTTTCTAAGTAAGGTAATATTCAGAGACAGTTGTTCATTTGATCAGATGACTTAGAGAAATTTCTGGAATATTTGCACGGGAAGATTACTTACTAATGAATGTCTTCGACTTAAATCTAACCAAAAATTGCAACATTATTCTTTGCACATTTTCATTATATAGTGTTAACAAGCTTAGTTGCAAACAAATAAAATACTTAAGTTATTTGTTAAAAGAAACACACACACACACAAACCTTGTGGCTACTTGGTCAATGTCTGTCATTCCTTTCTATACATAAGTGACATAAGGACAAGGAGAACCTTGGGTACATAGTTCATGTTCAGTAAGTGTGTGTTCTGATCAAGTCAAGGAAAGTGAGATATTCCAAGTGTTCAAAAAGTAGTCAAATCATTACCCATAATGCTCTACACTGGTGGACTCCAGCCAGGCCCAGAATGCCACAGTTCTAAATGGCACGTAATAACACACATGTCATGACAAATGAATAAGTGGACCTGGGTATACTTACAAAGCTCTGATCACCCTGGCCCCGTGTCTTCTTGACTGAAGATTGCTGTGTGGAGAAGAGGGCTTCTGTTTAGAGCTTAACACATGCCAAGCACTAGGGCTACCATAGTGAGGAAACATACGGTTCCTGCCTTTGTGGGAAATCCCAGTCTACTTGGAGAGCACACGTAATCAAATTATTATGTAAATCAATGTAAAATTGCAACTGAAGAGTGCTACCCATGAGAGGTTGGAAACACCTCCTCCGGGAGTGATGGTAGTTGAGACTGAATGCGAGGCAGGGGACTGGGAGGGAGTGTCTTTGGAGAGAACAGCAATTGCAAAGGCTGTTAGAGAGGGTGGCCCTAAGATAGGTGTGAGGAGGTCAGTAAGGGCTAACTCATGCAGACTGCCTGACTGTATGAAAAATATTGTGTTCATCCTAAAAAGCAATGGAAAGCTATGAGTGAGGGTGGGGAACAGGAATGTGACAGAACCCAAATGAGACCAAAATAACCACTCTGGCTGCTCTGCGAAGCACAGATTGGAGGGGGAAGAGTCCTCTCTCCCTGCAGGAGATATTGAGGCTACTGCAGTAGGCTGGGCCAGACATGCTGGTAGTTTAGACTTGGCTAGTAGCTAGTAGACACAGAGGAGAACAATGCGAGAGATGCTGTTAGGGAGGACTTAATGTCCACGCTGAGTATCATTACCTCTTAAAGAATGGAGCCGAGTGAAGCAGTAGTTACCAAACTTGCTCACATAAAAAAACACTTGGGGAAATTTTTTTTTTCCCACCACAGGCATCTTTGGAGTTATGTTTTCTTTTTGGTGGTGTTGAACCAATTTTTTAAAAATATAGATTAGTGACCAATATTATATTCCTCAGAGTTTGATTCAGTATGCCTGGCCTGACCATGGAATCTGCATTTAGACATATTTCCTAAAAGACGCTGAGAGTCTGTGTCTGCAGGCTCTGATGGGACTATGTGTCTCTGACATTTGACCCAAAAGGTTTTGTGGAGAGGTAAGGCCTGAGCATTCCTGAAGTTCATCCTGTTTGCTCCAGGATCACTTCTCTTTGGGAGGCTGTACAACATGGTGATCTGATTTTCCCAATCCAACCAACACAAACATTTCTCGGGAGCAGGTGTAAGAAGAGCCTGAGAAAAGTCATCAGAGTACCCTGTTTACACTATCAGGCCCATACACAGGGGCACATGCCAGCACATACACACACATGCACATACACATGCACATTTCATCTGACAGACATTTCTTTTTTATTTATTTATTTATTTATTAGATATTTTTTGCTATAGGGCACGTGTGCTCCCTGGAAAGATAGAGACAGAGAGATAGAAAGCAAAAAAATCACCCACAGGAAGGATGACCACACCACAATCCCTTCTCCTCCATTCTCTCAGGATCTTGGGCATGCATGCACACACGACCAGCGTGAGTTTAAGCCATCAGCTCTGGGACTCAAACTGTGGTCAACTACATGGGAGTTCAGCAACATAGCCATTGCATCAACTATGGGTCCCGCTGACAAGAATTTCTAACATTGCAAGAGCTGAGACTAAAAAATCATTATGATTATACCACTCACTCAGCACCATTGGTGGCCTCTAAGGATTTTTGTCAACCTAACCCAAAAACTAAGCCTAACCCTCACCCCTAACACTAGCTCTGACCCTAAATCTATGCATATCACTCACCCTACCGTAACCCTAACCATAACCCTAACCCTAGCCCCTAACACTAAATCTAACCCTTAACCCAGATTATAACTCTAATCCAAACCATAACCCAAACCACAACCCTGAGCCAAACGCTCACCCCTTACCCTAACCCTCAATCTAACCCTAACACTAAACCTACCGAAACCCTAACCATAACCCTGACGCTATCACCCAACCCTAACTCTGACCCCTAAACGTAACTGAGACCCTACAACAAAACTTAAGCCTAGCCCATACCATAACCCTAACCCTAACCCTCACCTTTACCCCTCGCCATAAAACTAAATTTAACCCTAACACTCACCCTCCTCTAACCAGAACCTGAACCCTAACCCTAGTGTACCCACTAAAACTAACCCTAACTCCTGACCCTAACTGTAACACTAATCAAAACTGTACCCCTAACACGAACCCAAAGGCTAATCCTCACCCCTGACCTTAATCCTAAAGCTAAATCTAACCCTAACCATAACCCTATGTCTAAGGTGAACCCTAATCATAACTCTGAAACCGAACACTAACACCAAACCCTAGTTGTAACACTAACCAAATCCGTCAACTGAAAAGTAACTCTAACCCTCACCCCTAACATTAGCCCTGACCCTAAATCTAACTATATCACTCACCCTACTGTAACCCTAACCATAACCATAACCCTAGCCCCTTACCCTAAACCTAACCCCTAACGCTGATCATAACCCTAATCCAAACCATAACCCAAACCCCGCACTGAGCCTAACACTCACCCCTTACCCTAATTCTCAACCTAACCTTAACCGAAAACCTACTGTAACCCTAACCGTAACCCTAACCCTATCACCTATCCCAAACCCAGCCTCCTAAACCTAAATGAGACCCTTCACCAAAACATAAGCCTAGCCCGGACCCTAAACCTAACCCTAAACCTCACCTTTACCCCTTACCCTAAACTTAAATATAACTCTAACACTCACTCTCCTGTAACCAGAAACCGAACCCTTACCCTAGCCATAACCACTAAACCAAACCCTAACTCCTGACCCTAACCGTAACACTAACCGAAACCATACCCCAAACCTGAATTCAAAGCCTAATCCTCACCCCTGACCCTAATCCTAAAGCTAAATCTAACCCTAACCTTAACCCTACCATAAGTCTAAGCCAAACTCTAACCCTAACACCAAAATTGAAAACTCACACCTAACCCTAGCTGTAATGCTAACCAAAACTGTCAACCTACCCCGAAAATTAACCCTAACCCTCACCCCTAACACTAGCCCTGACCTTAAATCTAACCATATCAGTCACCCTACTGTAACCCTAACCGTAATCCTAACCCTAGCCCCTAACCCTAAATCTAAACCCTAACCCTGATCATAATCCTAATCCAAATCATAACCAAAACCACAGCCCTGAGCCAAACACTCACCCCTTGCCCTAACCCTCAATCTAACCCCAACCCTAAACCTACCAAAACCCTAACCATAAACCTGACCCAACAGCCCAACCCAAACCCTGACCCCTAAACGTATCCGAGACCCTACACCAAAACTTAAGCCTAGCCTGGACCCTAACCCTAACCCTAACCGTCACCTTTACACCTTGCACTAAAACTAAATTTAACCCTAACACTCACCCTCCTGTAACCAGAACCCGAACCCTAACTG